GAAAACTACTTACACCCTTGGCGGCTTTCCCTACATGTTGTGGACGAAGAAACATAATTCTTCTGAGGAGCGTCAGAGGCACCAACGTCTCCTTCAGATGGTGGCCGAACCCAAATCCAAGCAGATAGATCTTCTGACTCGTATTCTTGGTTTTGCAGCGAAAGCCATTCAGACCGCAACGCGTCAATCGAAGTATTTTCACCGTGCCGGACATACAGCCGATAAGTATATGTCCGTAACTACAATGCACAATAATCCACACACACATTCAACGGAAGAAGAGATAAGGAGACAGGCGCAAGCAGAGACAAACTAATCGATCACAAAACAAGAAGAGACTAAATATCTGTGCTACATCGCCCGCTGTCCGCCACCCAGTCTCCCAGAGAACCTCGAGGACAAGTGGAACGACATGGATTTCAGAGAGGCAGTGGCGGAGAGGCTGGGACGTGGAATGCTGCCCAGGGGTAGCGGCGCGGGTAACACCCATACGACATGGAGACTGGGGCACGGCATGAGAAACATTCGCGATATGATTGTGGCTCTCGACTGCAGTGGGATGTCTGTACGGGAGTGCTCTAACTTGCGATCTTCTTTGGAGTTCGTTTGGGATGTATCACTGTTGAAGGAATGTACCACGTCTGGGTCCGGAAGGGCCCTCGTGGTAGACGGTCACGTTTTGTTGGCTGCGCCTTACACTGGCGCAGTGAAGGCTTGCGCCATTGTGATTCGCAGGCGGCATGCCGCCTGCTTGGAGTCGCCCACAGTTCCACCATCGTCTCGGGTTCAACTTGGCCACCTCTGCGTGGGCACCGCACGGCTTTGTTTAGCCGCTGGTTATCTTCCACAACGGCAATCCCTGGAGGATTTCTATAGTTGCGCTGACTACATTTTCGACCCAGTTGCTCAGGATATTCGGGGATACGATGTCCTCAAGTTACCTGTGGGCGCCAAGTGCGAAATTGGCGAAAACCTCAACGATGTGGAGAACAACGCGGTGGGCAGCTTCTCTAAAGGTGTACGCAGCGACCGAGCAGAACATGTGGCGGGACAGTGTCTGACATGCGAATGGGTCATCGCCAGCACCTTCTTTGTTGGACTTCAGCGAGGTACTTGTTTCCGCTATTCCACGGGTGCGCTAACTCAAATCGATCATAGCAGAACTCAGGTCACGAAAAGAGACCGTCTTCGAAGCATACGACTTGCTGAAACTACGAGTACACAGACAAACCATTGGCCAATTGTCATCAACACCCTATGCGGACGCAAACGGAGATGGGGAGTTCGCGAACCCATTGGCTGGATTGTTACCAAGCCTTCAGATTACGTGGGACAACTAGCACATGCGATCGACGAGAACATGGCCATCCAGGACATGTCCACGGATATTGGGGACGCAGCCGAGCACGCCGGCACAAGCGCATCGCGACGGCACCGGGCCACGGCAGACCGGCAGCACTTGCGCAACCTGGAGTGCCAGTGGCGACAGGCTTTTGACCGGTGGTCCAAAGCAGCACGCAGCAAACGCGTTTGGGGGGAAAGGCATCTAGGCTAAAAGAATTCGCGCGCCGGCGCAGACCAAAATAAGTTCCATCGAATTTGCGCAAAGGTGGACGGGGCAAGACATCCAGGAAAAAGGACGAGGATGTCACTGTCGCCTCACGCGCCCTTACAGTGGACAGAGCCGCAACTCGCCCGACCAGATTTCGGCTGATTTGGGGAAACATTGCAGCGCCCTCTCCAATGAGGGCACCGAGGACACCGAGCAGCTGCCTCCATGGAGTTGGCAGCCCTTTCATGATACAGAAATGCCCGCGTCTTGCATCTTATCCAGCGTCGCGGGCCTACCTCCGTCGGAAGACTTGCATTTCGGACAGCTGGCTGGGGGAATGCTGCGCGCGCACGTCGGCGCTGGGGGGATGGCCGCCCCTGGGAGCTCGGAGATTTTGGGCGGCGAGCCCCCGGGGGCCCTGGGCAGCATGGACGCAGTCACTTGGTTCAGTTTGACAATGGGAGTCGGGGTGGGCTTCTCGCCGGCATCGGATATGCAATGTTTGAGATCGATGTAGATTGTTTATGCCACTCAGCCGCCTCATGGTTTGGGGTTGCACATCAGACGATACCGAATGGCACGCATTCTTCTTTGGCCCCAGACTGCCCTCATGCGCGACATAGAGGGCCTGGTGGTGGAGGGGGCCACTATCCGTGCCATCTACCAGGCCGCCGGGGAACGGTCGATTTCCGATGCTCGCACCCAAGCATACCGCAGCGCAGCCAACGACTGATTCGCACAATGTTCGCGGGTGTCTTGCGCGCGTGAAGGGGGCTTTTAACGAGTTCGCGGACTGGCCCGCCAACGAGGCGATGAATTGCCATCTTTGTGACGGGCGCGAACGATGGGCTCGCGCATACTTGTTCTCGGTGCATGCTCGACGGTCCGGATATCTCATGCGTCGACGCATGCTTTGGCGAAGTGTGGCTGCCGGACACGCGAAACGGCGCTCGGTTGAGCGCCCATTCTGAATCGAAAAGGGAATCGACCATGATTTGCAGGGGCATCTCGTTTCAGTCGACTTTGACATCCAGGGCGCTGCGAAGAGGTGGCGACTTCTCACTGAGGACGCGCTGGTCTGCATGGCCCGTTCACGATATCGTTTATGCCGCCCTCGATTCGAGCGTCGCATTCCCGCGGGGTTGGCTGTTCTCCCGAAGTCGGCGCACATGACGTGGCATGGCATGCTCAGGCCTATGTCTATCTTGCCAGTACTGGGGGACCCAGCGGGGGGAACTTTGGTAGACGATGTTGGAACCTACCACGCGCCCATAAGAAACGATTGGCCATTTGCGTGCCATGATGGGCATAGCGTTGTCGAGCTCGTCATTGTCGTGGTCCTGATATGTCAGAAGTGCACGCGGGTGGGGGAGGGGCGCGTCGTGGCGAGCACGGACATCCACAAGGCATTTGACTACGCCCGGCATGTGAGAGCGTTGGAAGGAGTACCCCGCGGAGTACACGCGCGCGGTTTTCCCGGCACGTGGGGCCCCCCAGTTTTAAGGCGTGCCCGCTGGGATGCGTGGCCGCAGTTTTTTCGCCCACTAGAGCCGTTCTTCGGGGCGCAAAGTGGGGCCCCAAGTTTTTCACTTGGACTTTCAGCGACGGTCTACAACCGTTTCGGGTCAGATGCCAGGAACAGGGATTGGGCGTGCCATTGGCGCGCGCGCAGCACTGTCAACAACGCGCGCGACGGACGTGTAAACATTGCGCTGACATGTGCATACTTTTCTTGGCGCGGAGCGACAGCGAATTCACATTTGCACGCGCGTGGCAGCGCGCAGATGCAATGTTCAACCTGTTGTCAGGAGCTTCGGGGGGGGGGAGGGGAACGCGGGTGGATTTACCGCGGAGTTGTGTAACATTTATGACGCAGCGCCATGCTAGCCAAGAAGACTGGGAGGGGAGGGCACGGACATTGTTGAGGAAGGAGGGAGTATGAAGACCACAGCGGCATGGGCGTGAACTCGAAAAACAAATACACATGGGCACCATCAGCAGAATCAGTTGCATGACGTCGGCTGCGCAGGCCAGCGAACGCCTCCTTCGCTCGCGGTCTGCCGGCAGACGCAAGCGACTCCAGCTCGTGGCAGATCAGTCCATGTAAAGCGCTTTGTGGGGCGCTCCGTGCTGGGCGATGGGGCAGGGGGACATGCTGTCGCTTCGTGGGAGGCAACGCGAGCTTTTTGGCCAGCACTTCCATCTCGCCCGCCATCGGCACGAGACGGACGCCGCCTTCGCGAAGAGATTCAACCGGGAGATCTGCAGCGCCAAGGCAACCCAGGGAATGCCAGACTAGGATGCGCAGGCTCTTTGGAGACAACATCGGTATGTAGGCCATCTTGCCCGATGGCGTCGCAGAGAACCCGGGAATATCCAATCGAGAGTGGTGCAGTGGAGCAGATGCCCCGAGAGCGGCAATTCACAACCCAACGCGTTTGCAGGGTTTTGTCAGACTTGTTCTTGGGCGGTATATGAGTTTTCGTTCGTTCGGCACTACGCTGCCCCTTCGAGACAAACGTGGACGTGTTCGAGTTAGCGCAGGGCCGGAAGGGGGTAGGCAAGGCTTGTTGTGTTGCGGTATAACTTCGGTGTTTGCGCTGTTGTTTGAAGTCGGAGCCTGGCTCTTTCAGGACTTACCGCCACCACCGCCACCATCGACATCAACACCGCCATAACCATGTGCATCAGCTTCATCAGCATCACTATCATCATCATATTATCATCATCGTGATCATGATCGCGCCCATGAACATGATCATCACCACCATCAGCGCCACCATCACCATCCGTAGCCATTCTGGCTCAAGTTCGAACTGCTCGGCAAGGAATTTCGAGCGTGGTCGCTGCCGAGGGTCTTTCGAGCATTTTGCCGCAGGGGCTGTTTTGGGCACTTCGGCCGGTGCAGCGTGCAATCCCCTCTCGCTCTCCGCTGCTGCCGTGGCAGCGGCGGATCTCGAGTTGATCAAATCCCTGTTGGCTGAGCACGTCGCCAGTGCGAGTGGCGTGCTAGATCAGAAGTTCGAAGCGAAGCTCGGGTCGATCGCTGAGACAGTGACGGCCCAAGGTCAGCAGACCAAGGAGATTCCGGACAAACTCTCCTAGGCCGCTTCAGCCCAGGACGGGTTGCAGGCTCGTCTCGATGCATTAGAACAGGCACATCAGTGATTTGTCTCGAAGGTTCCGTCCTCGCATGCAGTGCCTCTCCCGGGGAGAACAAGGGCCGTCGACATGGGCAATTCCACTTCGGCTGGAAACAGTTCAGCTGCGCTAGAGGATGCCCATCGCCTACTCATCCTGGGGTCCAAGGATCGTCTCATGGCGTCGACGTTAGAAAGGACCGCCTCCAACATTGTAAGCAAGTGTGCGACGGAACAGGCGGGGAAGCTCATTCGGATCCGTGCGTATGGCTTACAGAAGAAGGTGACTCTTGACTTCCCCCCCCGCGATGGCGTCGGACTTCTTGGGCAATTTCAGGAAGCTGAGTGATGCGTACTCGGCGTCGAACCTCTTGACCCGCAAGACCTCTGGCCTCTCCGTGTTTGCAGAAGCCTTCGAGATGGGGAAAGTGCACCAGGCGTTGCAGGAAGAGCTGAGTAAGGTAGGGCTTCAGGCTAATTCGCACGGGGGTGGGGGTGATGTTTTCGCGCTCCGCTCGAAGGGGGATCCAGTCCCGATGTTTCACCTCAGTTGCTGCCCTCAGAATGCCGTGTAATCCATATGCGTATTGAGGAAGAAGGGCTCGACGTTTTGGGTCCTCAGTCAGTTCGTGTGAAATTCGAGACTGCGTTTGAGTCGTTTCCCTCCCGCCCCTTTTGAGGAGGAGCCTGGCTGGCCTGGTGGCAGTAACATATATAATGTGCCCAGTGGCCCGTTTTTGGACTCGAGGGAGAGCGGCGTGATTTCTGCCACTGATGGGGCCCCTTCGAGTGTGAATTCAGTTAGTAGTGGCAATGCCACCCAAGCTCAGTGCGAGTCTGATCATTCTTTCGGTGGGGGGGGGGGCACCGGTTTGCAACGTCCCTTCCTTTTGCGCCGCCGCCGTTCTCTGCTCTCTCTTCTCTCACTTGGTACCCTAGGGGACTCTTCGCTTCCATCTCTCATGCTTCCCTCCGTGCCTCCAGGCGGTGCCATCAGTTTCTTGCGCATTCACGTCGGTCCAGTATTTTGTATCCAAGAGACTCATGGCACCCAGGGTGATGCCGCAGTCATTCAGACTGACTTGCGAGGATACTCCATTGGCTTTTCTGACGGTATTTCTGGCATCGCGGGTGGCGTACTCACTGTTATTAGCCTGCTCTCTGTCGTCTATTCACGGACATCGAGCGCCATCCTTTTGTGCCTGGCAGAAGTCTGCTATCGAAATGTAATGGCTATTATGGGACCTTATGGGTGCTCGACGGTCATCTCCTGGCCACTGGTGAGCCCGCCCGGGCTTTCTTCCGTGATCGACGCCGTATTCGTGATGCTCTTGCAACCGCTGGGCATGCCCTGGTTCTCGATCGTGGTGACTTGAATGTCACGTTTGAGGAGGAAAGACGTCAGTGCGCGGATGTGTCTGGGCGGCGCCCTGGGGACCGATCTCGCCATGCCGTCGTCGCTCAGTGCCCCCCCACGTCGGACGGAGTGACACCGGCCCGAGCCGATCCGTCGCGAGACACAGAACGGGCAGCTTGCACACGTGAGTCGTCGTGATCGCATTTATGTGACGAGCCTTTCTGCCTTCCTGCCGGACTTCGCGGTCGCGTGCTCGGTTCTTGGCAAGGCGGCTCTTCTCGGGACTGTCTCGGACCACATTCCTGTCATGGCAGCGATCAGGCGGTTCTACCCTGCAGAGTTCCCGCAGATCCCATCCTGGATCGGCCGGCATCCTATCTGTCACACCGGGTTGGCGTTCCTTTCGGGTGGCCTGGACGGAGCTCTGCCGACTGTGGATCAGGTCTCTCGGTTGAAACAGTGCGCGTGGGAGGCGGCCCACCAGACTAAGAAACGTCTTCGGGTGAAATCGGCGACCATGGACCAAGGTTGATGAGGAGATCCGCTTTGCTTCGGCTGCGCTGCGCAGTGTCCGCTCTCGCTCACAGGAACAGTTGAAAGCGCCCATTGAATCCCATCGTGAACTTGCCCGCTTCTTTGGCGTCGACGAATGCACGCGCCGCTCTTCGCCTTTCCTGCGCCATCACATTCAGTCGCTTCAGAACCAGGAGATCAGGGCTCTAGACCAGGAGATTGAGCGCATGACAGACCTTGATGTTAAGAACCGTGTGAGGGCCAAGCTTCAGAGGCGCAAGGAACTATGGCGTCCGATGCACAAACGAATCTCTGTGCGTGCTATCTTGGGGCCTGATGGTCTCCTGCTTGGTTCCGCGGGGCCTGCTGGCGATGCGCTTGCGGTGCATTGGGGGGGGGGGAGTCTCTGGTGCTCGTGACTGCGACGCTGGTCTGTGGGGCGAACTGGGTAAGTTTGTTCTGCCTCTGGACGGCATCCCTGAGAACTCCTGGGTCCTGCCCTTCGATGTCTTTGAGGCCATGGCGTGTGCCAGATCGGACTCCGCGCCTGGCCCCGACGGCAATGTGTATTCATGTTTGAAAAGCATTGGCCCAATTGAGATTCTGCATCAGTTCTACCTTCACGTCATGCAGACATGGGGGGGAGGGCTACCGCGCGTCTTGGGGCCCTCGTGGGCCGTCTTGGGGCCTTCTTGTGGGCCTCTTAGGCAGTCTTGGGGCGGTCTGGGGGCCTCTTGGGCCGTCTTCGAGCGTCGGAAGCCCGAATAGGCGAAAAAGCGAAAGACTTCCTGAAACCCCCGAAAAAGAGAATGCACGATGTTGGTCTCTTGGGGCCCCCTGGGGAGGCCTCTTGAAAGTCTCTTTGGGCGTATTGGAGGCATTTTTGGCTCTTAGGCGTCTTGGGGCGATGTTTCGGCGACTCGGGGCCCTCTTCGACCGACTTGGAGGTATCTTGGGGCCCTCGTGGCCCGTTTTGGAGACCTTCGATGCCCCCCAGGCAGAAGTTCTGCAGCAAAGTACCCCCTGTGACGGCCTGGATAGACCCCCCCCCGGCCGGCCCGGATAGGCCCCTTCCCCTTCCTCCAAATCGACCAGATCAGGCTCCCGGGGGAGGGGTTTGGGGAGGGGGAGGCATTTCACACGCCGATGAGGCCCAAGGGGTCGGCGGATTCGCCTCAGGGTCAAATCGGGACGTTGAAGTAAGGACCGCCTTGGGGGTGGTAGGGGGCTCGCTGTTCTTGGGGTCGTTCCTCGGTCCCTCCTCGTGCACCCTGGCGCTGCTGGCGTCAAAAAGGGTCTTCCTTCTTTCAGCGTTCCTCATTTCAACGGCCCTTCTGTACGCAGCACCGCACACTTGCCGATGAGCGTCAAGGGGCGGGCGCGGGTTGGGTCGCGGGTGAGCCGCGGGTGGGTCGCGGGTGATTCACGGGTTGGGTCGTGGGGCGGGTCGCGGGTGTGACAATCATGTGAATATTGTTGGTTCCCAGATGCTCGCGAGTCATCAAACATGGATAACGCCAAATACTTGATATCCGCCCTCTTTTCTTTTAGTCGTACCCCTTTTTGGGGTATGTTTTCCGTGCTTGTGACATTAGAGCATCGGTTAAGACAGGAAGAACAGACATAGTGAAAAAGGGGGAGCGTTAGGAGGAATGGAGTGGGGGAATTAAAGGAAAAGGGAAGGAGGCGAGATGGGGGGAGGGATAAGATGGAGGACGAGAGGGATTAGCAAGACTGATTAGCCAGACGATATGGCAAGCAAGGCTCATGCGAGAGCGCGGTTCCTGACGAAAGCGTGCGGAAGTCTTGGGCGACAGTGCGATTCCAGAGCACAGAGAGAGAGAGAGCGGTGTGTAATCGAAGTGTACGAAGCGTTTAGACGAAAGTACGATTCTAGGACGAATTGCAAGGCCAGCCCGACCGAAAACCATATTATTTCACGAGCCGTGAGGAAGTATCAGGGGGGGCCGGGGGGGGGGGGGGGGGGGGGGGGGGATGGGGGAGAAGGCGCGGGGGAGGGGGAGGGGAGGGGAAACGGGGGAGAGAGGGGGATGGGGGGAGGGGAGTGGGGGAGGGAGGGAGGGGGGGAGGGGGAGGGAGAGGTGGATGGGGGGGGGAGGTTCTGGGCCTGACGCCGGCGATCGGCGCTCCGCGCGGGGGGTGGGGCCCGCGCCGCGCCGAGGCGACCGCGGTCCGCTGCCTCGCGGGCGGCGCGCCGAGGCGACTGCGGGCAGCCGCGCGCCCTCCCGCGGGGCCCGCGGGCGCGCCGCGGAGGGGCCATCAGAGATCCATTGGAGGGCGGGGAATCTCGCCTCCTCTCCCGTCTCTCCTCCTCCTCCTCCTCCCTCCTCGTCCCTCCTCCTCCTCCTCCTCCTCCTCCTCCTCCTCGTCTCCTCCTCCCCTCCTCGTCTCCTCCTCCTCCTCCCTCCTCGTCCTTCCTCCTCCTCCTCTTCCTTCCTCCTCCTCCGCTTCTCCTCCTCCTCCTCCTCCTCCTCCTCCTCTCCTCCTCGTCTTCCTCCTCCTCCTCCTCCTCCTCCTCGTCTTCCTCCTCCTCCTCCTCCTCCTCCTCCTCCTCCTCCTCCTCCTCCGCTGCGTCATCACTGGGACCGCTCACCGTTGGAACTGCCCTGGCGAAGGGCCCTGCCCTCTGCGCTTGTGAGTAAGTGCCGCGGCTCCGCGGAGCTCGTCTTCGGTGCAGCTCCCCACGGGGCACGGGGCCACGAATCGTGCTCGGAGTCTGCGGGGATGGGCGGGGAACCGCATGCGAGCCTTGTCATCGCGGCCGTGCCCACGTGCCCTGAGATCCTGTGGTTCTCATTTTTCGAGCTGGGCGTTGTCGTGTTGTTTTCGGGCCCCGGGACCCTCACATATCGATCCGGCTCGAAGAATGACGCAGGAAGATGGGGTCCAGTCGTGATGTTTCTTGATGTTGCCATTTTTTCGCCACGTCGGGTCTCAGGCCACGACGGGAGGTTTTTGGCCATTTTCGACTTCCCAGGGCCCTCGCCAGGCCTCGTGGCTGTCCGAAAACGACTCGGGCTAGAAAACCTGGCCCAGGATTGGGGGGAGGAGGAACAAGCACCCGTAAAAAAGGCCTCCCGTCGTGGAGCAAACATCAGGACGGGAGGTTGTTGGCCATGCTCGGCCTCGAAGGGGCCCTTGCCGGGCCCTGGGGCTGTCACAAAACGATTCGGGATGAAAGATCTGTCCCGGGGGAGGGGGTTGAGGAAACGGGACCCACAACAAGCTCTCGCGTCGTGGAACCACAAGTTAGGACAGGAGGTGTGTTTGCCAGCCTCGGCCTCCAGGAGCCCTCGCCAGGCTTCGGGATTGGCAGCACACGATTTGGGATGACAAAACTTGTCTCGGAGGAAGGGTCGGGACTTCTGGGGACCGCGTGTAGGATAATTCGGGACGTCGCATGTCTGGGAAGGTACCCAGACCGCTACCTTTGCCTCGTCTTCTCCTTTTTGGGCCTCCTTGGCGCACTGTGGCCCCAGCGGGCCCCGGGCCAAGGCGAGCTCTGGCCCCGGCGGGCCCCGGCCCTGCAAACTATGGCCCCGGCGGGCCCAAGGCCCAGGCGCGCCGTGGCCCCGGCGGGCCCCAGGCCAAGGCAAATCCTGGCCCTGGCGGGCCCCGGCGGGCCCCGGCCCTGCTACAAACGATGGCCCCGGCGGGCCCCGGGCCCAGTCAAACGACGCGAACATCGGGACAAAATCGGATCGGGATAACTCGAAATCTCTGAAAATCGGCGGGTTTGGAGGATGTATTGGGCGCCGCAGCCGCTCCAGAGCGTTCCGGAACGCTCTGAGAGCGCTCCGGAACGCTCTGGAGCGATTTATCCCGATCCTAGCCCGGTTTTACCCAGGCGCACCGTAATTATCCCCGGCGAGGGTTGCGGCTCTAAGGTTTGCCGCAGTGTGCAGGTCTGGCGGGGCCATGGCTGCGTCTTGGTATCGTCGTCGAGGCGCGGGGGGCCCATGCAGGCTTGCATGGCGGCACGTTTCATGTGTAATTCGCGGCCGGAATTGTGAACGACCAGAAATACAATTGACCGGAAATAGAAATGAGTGCTCTGTAGGTTGCTTAGGCAGGCCCAATGGTAGCATTCGTTGTCATGTGCAGCTCGTCCGCGCGGCACTTGTTTCACTTGCGCCTGGGCGCGGGCGTTCCAGGAGGGGCGCGTGGCAAAAGGATCAGCGGCGTGATGCAGAGATTCAGGCCGATTTCGGGCTGGAGCTGGCGGCGGCGTGGCATTGTCGACGACGACGATTCGGCGGAGATGAACCTTCCCAAACCTCCGAGAGCTCTTGTCTCCCTCCACCCCCCAAAGCTGAATAATACCGTTGAACATTCTCCTCCGTCCAGATCTTCCTCCCTCCCTCCCTCCCTCCTCCGTCTTCCTTGCCTCATCCATCCTCCTCTTCCACCCCGTCCCCCTTCCCCTGCGTTCCTCACCCTGCTCCCTCCTCTTCGACGACCTATTCGACCACGGCCACAACCACGACCACGGCCACGACCACGACCACGACCACGACCACGACCACGACCACGACCACAACGACGACGACGACGACGACGACGGCGGCGGCGGCGGCGGCGGCGGGCGCGGCGGCGGCGACGACGACGACAGTAACGATGGCTATGATCGCGGTCGGCAACGCCGACGACGGCGGCGTCGGCGGCGACGACGAATGCGGCCAGGCGTGCGCTGCCCGCTGCGGCGCGGCCGACGAGGCCGGGCCCGCCCAGGCTCGGACGGCCGAGTGTACGCGTGCCCTTTGTGGCCCAGGGTGCACGCACTTCCTCCCACCTCTCCCCTTCCCCCGTGTCGTCCCTCCTCCCTCTTTGCGCTTACTTCGCCTCCATCCCTCCTCCTGCGCCTCTGGCCAATCCTCCTCCTGAGCCCCCCCTCCCCTCTCCTCCGGCTCCTGCTCCTTCTTCTCCCTGTCCTGCGTTTCCAATTTGTTTCTTTTTCCCAACCCTCCTTGGTTGGGTATTCGTTTTGAATAGAGCATTGCGGTCTCCAGTCCTCCTCCTCTCCCTCCTTCTCCTCCTCCTCCCGCGTCCTCCTCCCGCCTCCCTCCTCCCGCCTCCCGTCTCCCTCTCCTCTTGCTTTGTGCGGACCTCGCCGTTTCTGGGGGGATGCGATCTGCGACACTGTCGCCACTTTCGAGGGCTGCTGGTGGGTCCTGCAGAGTGAGGCACCGCGGGGATCTGAGCGACACCTCGCCGTCCCTGGGGGGCTGCGATCCGCAACACTGTCGCCGCGTTCGAGGGCTGCTGGTGGGTCCTGCGGAGTGAGGCAACGCGGGGATCTGAGCGGGACCTCGCCGTCCCTGGGGGGCTGCGATTTGCGACACCGTCGTCGCTTTCGAGGGCTGCTGGTGGGTCCTGCGGGGTGAGGCACCGCGGGGATCTGAGCGACGCCTCGCCGTCCCTGGTGGGCTGCGATCTGCGACATTGTCGCCACTTTCGAGGGCTGCTGGTGGGTCCTGCAGAGTGAGGCACCGCGGGGATCTGAGCGGGACCTCGCCGTCCCTGGGGGGCTGCGATTTGCGACACCGTCGTCGCTTTCGAGGGCTGCTGGTGGGTCCTGCGGGGTGAGGCACCGCGGGGATATGAGCGGGACCTCGCCGTCCCTGGAGGGCTGCGATCTGCGACATTGTCGCCACTTTCGAGGGCTGCTGGTGGGTCCTGCGGAGTGGGGCACCGCGGGGATCTGAGCGAGATTTCGCCGTCCTCGGGGGGCTGTCAAGAGCTGCTGTGGGATAAGTTGGGTGCAACGGGCGCATGGCACAGCCAACGGGGGTGATGTGTTATTTCGTAGCCCTTAGATCTTGATCTGGGGCCTGCGAACCTCCCGATTGCTGTTCGCAAAATCACATGCGTCCATGTTACGTCATCGCCCCCGTTGTAGCGATCCTGATCTACGTATGCCCCGCATTGCGCAAGGGTTGGGTACGTCGCCAGGGTAATTCCCAACCCTCCTTGGCTGGGTATTCGTTTTGAATGGAGCGCTGCGGTCTCCAGTCCTTCTCCGCCTCCTCCTCCTCCTCCCGCTTCCCCCCGCCTCCTCCTGCCCCCTCTTCGTTGTTGCGGGGGTGCTGCGATCTGCGACACTGTCGCCACTTTCGAGGGCTGCTGGTTGGTCCTGCGGAGTGAGGCACCGCGGGGATCTGAGCGGGACCTCGCCGTCCCTGGGGGGCTGCGATCCGCAACACTGTCGCCGCTTTCGAGGGCTGCTGGTGGGTCCTGCGGGGTGAGGCACCGCTGGGATATGAGCGGGACCTCGCCGTCCCTGGGGGGCTGCGAGTTGCGACACCGTCGCCATTTTCGAGTGCTGCTGGTGGGTCTTGCAGAGTGAGGCACCGCGGGGATCTGAGCGGGACCTCACCGTCCTTGGGAAGGCTGCGATCTGCGACATTGTCGCCATTTTCGAGGGCTGCAGGTGGTTCCTGCGGAGTGAGGCACCGCTGGGATCTGAGCCGAACCTCGCCGTCCCTGGGGGGCTGCGATCTGCGACATTGTCTCCACGTTCGAGGGCTGCTGGTGGGTTCTGCGGAGTGAGGCAACGCGGGGTCTGAGCGGGACCTTGCCGTCCCTCGAGGGCTGCGATCTGCGACATTGTCGCCATTTTCAGGGGTTGCTGGTGGGTCCTGCGGGCTGAGGCACCGCGGGGGTCTGAGCGAGACCTCGCCGTCCCTGGCGGGGGCTGCGATCTGCGACATTGTCGCCGCTTTCGAGGGCTGTTGGTGGGTCCTGTGGAGTGAGGCACCGCGGGGATCTGAGCGGGACTTCGCCGTCCCTGGGGGGCTGCGGTCTGCGACATTGTTGCCACTTTTGATGGCTTTTGGTGGGTCCTGCAGAGTGAGGCACCGCGGGGATCTGAGCGACACCTCGCCGTCCCTTGGGGGTTGCGATCTGCGACGTTGTCGCCACTTTCGAGGGCTGCTGGTTAGTAGTAATAGTAGTAGTAGTAGTAGTAGTAGTAGTAGTAGTAGTAGTAGTAGTAGTAGTAGTAGTAGTAGTAGTAGTAGTAGTAGTACTACTAGTACTACTAGTACTAGTATACTAGAGTCTAGTACTAGGTAGTAGTAGGTAGTAGTAGTAGTAGTAGTAGCCAGTTAGTAGTAGTAGTAGTAGCAGTAGTATCGTAGTAGTATAGTCGTAGTAGTAGTAGTAGTAGTAGTAGTAGTAGTAGTAGTAGTATTAGTAGGTGAGTTGTGTGTAGTTCGTAGTAGTAGTAGTCGTAGCCGTAGTCGTAGTCGTAGTCGTCGTTAGTAGTAGTAGTAGTAGTAGTAGTAGTTAGTAGTAGCAAGTAGTAGTAGTAGCGTAGAAGTAGCGTAGCAGTAGCAGGAGCAGTGCAGTAGCAATTAGGCAGTAGCAGTAGCAGTAGCAGTATGTAGTTTAGTCGTAGTCGTAGTATAGTAGTAGTAGGTAGTAGTTATAGTAGTAAGTAGTAAGTAGTAGTAGTTAGTCGTGGTAGTGGTAGTGGTGAAGTAGTGGTATAGTAGTGAGTAGTGTAGTAGTAGTATTAGAGTAGTACTAGTTAGTAGTATAGTACAGTAGTAGTAGTGTAAAGGAGTAGTATAGTATAATAGTAGTCGTAGTATAGCCGTAGTAGTAGTAGTAGTAGTAGTTTGTAGTAGTAGAGTGTAGTAGATAGTAGTAGTAGTAGTATAGTAAATAGTCGTAGTAGTAGTAGTAGTAGTAGTAGTAGTAGTAATGGTAGTGGTAGTAAGAGTAGTGATAGCAGTAGTAGTTGTAGTAGCAGTAGTAGTAGTAGTAGTAGTAGCAGTAGTAGTAGTAGTGATGGCTGTAGTGGTTGTACTGGTAGTAGTGGTAGTAGTAGTAGTAGTAGTAGTAGTAGTAGTAGTAGCAGTAGTAGTAGTAGTAGCAGTAGTAGTAGTAGTAGTCGTATTAGTAGTAGCAGTGGTAGTGGTAGTACTAGTCGTATTGTGCGGAGTTGTAGTAGAAGCCGTAGTAGTAGTAGTAGTCGTAGTAGTAGTAGTAGCAGTAGTAGTAGTAGTCGTAGTGGTAGTAGTAGTAGTAGTAGTAGTAGTGGTGGTAGTCGTAGTAGTAGTCGCAGTACTGGTGGCACTAGTTGTACTGGTAGCAGTAGACGTAGTGGTAGTAGAAGTGTCCGCCGTCGCAGTCGTCATAGTAGTAATAGTAGTAGGTAGGTAGGTAGGTAGGTAGGTAGGTAGGTCGGTAGGTCGGTAGGTCGGTAGGTAGGTAGGTAGGTAGGTAGGTAGGTAGGTAGGTAGGTAGTAGTAGTAGTAGTAGTAGTAGTAGTAGGTAGGTAGGTAGTAGTAGTAGTAGTAGTAGTAGTAGTAGTAGTAGTAGTAGTAGTAGTAGTCGTATTAGTAGTGGTAGTAGTACCCCGTAGTAAGTAGTAGTCAGTAGTAAGTAAGTAGTATAGTAGTAGTCGTAGT